GGGATAAGTTATTCCAGTAACAAGGCATCTTCCCGAGGCAAGGGAGTAAACTGACTACAAAAGTCCAGTTTCCACCTATGCCGAACAAGGCTGGAATTCCTGGGCCCGATCGTAGCGCCCCCAAATGGTTATTACGAATTATGTACCTTTTTTTGCCTCTCTTATGGACCAATCAGATTCTACCTCTCGTATCACTTGCATCTGTTAAAAACAAAATGGCGGCGCACGGGTCAGGACGATCTGATCTATACTCAAGGTCTATATTGTGACAAAAGTAGGTAAATATCCGTTGACAACGAGTTGGCGGTGCACATGCTTTGAAAATCCTGCAATCGACTGACATCTGCATGACACTTTACGAAGCGGATTTCGATTTCGTTGCGCGATTGTAATTGGACTATACATAGACTCGTTAGTCAAGCCAAACTGTAACTCCATAATACCAGCATAGTTCGGCAAGGGTGAAAACTGGAGTTTTAAAGTAAGTTAACTCTTTTGCCTCGGGAAGATAGTCACAAGGCAAAGTCATCACACGCTGTGTTCCAACAGGTACGCCGGTAACAGAATCAATAGGCGGCATAAAACGTAGCCTGACGTTCTTGTGTCTTTCCAGAAAGAATGCTATCATAGCTGACGCCTTTTCACTGCCACGATTGCACATGGTGGCTCAGTAGAGCTGGGGGTCCGAATCTTGACTGTTTCTGTCTGTTCCGCGTTAAACCCGAAAGGCGTTTTGTTTTTCAGATGAAGACAACAGGAGTCTACTTCCTGGACAATGTTGTAAAACTTAGATGTAAATAATGTAATGTGAAATATGAAATGTAGATTATGTAATGAATTTAATTAGACTGCCCAACATATTGTCAGTGGATGCCCACCTTGGCACAAACACAGTATCTTAAACGACATGATGGTGTAGCTCGATCATTTTATTACCGTCTTCGCCATGCTTGTGGTTTTGACACAGAGGTCCACCCATGGTACGACCCGGAATATGTGGAGGGAGTCATGGAAAATAATAAATACAAAATTCTTTGGAATATTCCCATTTACAGCCTTAGACGTATCCAGGCCAACAAACCTGATCTTGTCCTTTTTGATAAATTCAATGAAATCATTCATATCATTGAATTTTCTGTCCCCTAATGTGATTGACAAGACTGACGAAAAAACAGGGCAAATATGCGGACCTCGCTTTCGAAATGTCACTCTTGCATCCCAAGTACCAAGTTGTCCGACTCCCAATTGTTCTCGGTGCCTTAGGTTTGGTACCTCCCAATCTGTTGACTGACATTGGGAGAGTAGCCGGTTTTGCTACCAGGAATACAGCCCTTCTGACAATCTGGGTAATGCAGAAGGCTGCAGTGTTGGGGAGTCTTCACATTCTTCAAGTTCTGGGTGGGTTTGACTGGGCAGCACTTCCAAGGAGAAGTCACATTCGCTGTCTGGGCTGCGTGTAGAGGGGGCAAGGGCCCTGAGCTGATGATGAGCCTAACCAGCATGACTGTGCCAGGATCACCCAAACCCTCTTTGCTGCATTTTCTATTTTAATCTGTAAACAATAATAATAATAACAATAATAATAATAATACACAGTAATGGGACGGGTCAAATTGTGTTCAATGTTGTGTCCGCTGTGGAAAGAAAGGGTATCTTGGAACTATATGATTATTATTTGATTTAAATTTATTTAAATTGCCACGTGACTACAGCCGCTGTATCCGAGAATATCCGCGTACCACCAAATTACTCTACAACTGCAAACATTTAGGTAGTGTAGAATTTATATCATATAAAGAGCCTGAAGTAAACTCACAAGCTACCGTAGCATAGTCACACCATATATAAATACAAAGGAGTTATTTAGCCTTGACAGAACATCTGAAATAAAACCGCAGAAGATCCACCACTTATGTAAACGGGCTGAACTAAAAAATGGCAGATGGTCTGTTCAGAGTTACAATCTCTCACTCACTCCGTGAAGACCCGGGGAAGAATAGGTCCCATGCTTGCCGTAAAAGGCGACTATGCTTGTCGTAAGAGGCGACTAACGGGAGCGGGTGGTTAGGCTCGCTGACTTGGTTGATGCATGTCATCGATCCCAATTGCGTGGATCGATGCTCATGATACTAATCGCTGGTCCAGACTCGATTATTTACAGACCGCCGTCATATAGATGGAATATTGCCGAGTGCGGCGTTTAACAACCAACCAACCTCTCACTCACTCAATGTCTGCACATAGGAGAGATACCATTATGTTGAATACTCCTATATGCACTACGGCCACAGTGACCAACCTAAGATTAAAAACAGCCATCACGTCCTTTTGCCTCTGCCAAATTATGAAGTGAGCTTTTACCCTTCGGCATTGTTTGCATATGACGACCAGCGATACCTTTCTCTCAAATGCTTTGACAAGACAAGATCATGGATTGAAATACCTTTGGACAATGTGTGAACGTCGCGTTCAAGTTTATTGCACTTATGTAGCGACGTACATCATGCACGTGTGTGCATTGACTCCGAGTCGACCAGTCCTTGTTTTAGCTCCTGAATGTCGAGCGCAAGGCAACGTGCCATCTTTTAACGTCTTTAGGTAGGACGCGGCCGGGGATCTAACCCGGTCATTTTGATTGACCTGACTTCCCAGGCGCATCTGTCATGTCATCAACATCTAACCCAACATGAGATTGGAGCATCATACGAAATATATCGGAGTTAAGAAGTGTGTCTAAACTTGCATTCTTATGTAAAATGTCACTTCTTGACCCCAGATTCAGTTGCATGTACAGCTGCCATTGAATCTACAAATACTATCACCTCATGAACATTGCGATTAACCCACTCTGGTGTTGTAATAACAGTAATCAATGCAGCAATCAAGACGGGAAGATGATCGCTCAGCCGAAATGCCCCTGCAACAAGCAAATCTGGAATCCGAAGTGTCCCGGCAGTGTTATCACAAAAGGCATATCCCGAGAGGCATCTGTGAAAATATGCATAAAGTTGAAATATATCTCAAGAGATGAATTCTTGGGCGATAACTTAAACAATATTTCGAGTCATACTCTTGGTGACAATATCATTTAGATCTGAACACGCTCCTGGTTTCAGAAGGTAACATGAACAGGATTGCAAAGTGGAAACAGGGTTCATATGATTAATGTCACGTACCTTGTGAAGTATTGCTAGTTTCTGAATTCCCAACCCAAAAGGTGTTTACCATTTGACCATTCACATATCTTGTATTCTAGTTATTAAGGGGGCTGTGGGGTAGCCAAGATGGTAAAGCGTTCACTCATCACGCTGAAGACCCGCGCTCGATTCCCCACATTGGCACAATGTGTGAAACCCATTTCTGGTGTCCCCTTCCGCGATATTGCTGGAATATTGCTAAAAGCGGCGTAAAACCATACACACTTCTTCACTAGTAATTAAGTACATCCATTGCAGACATGCTGGAAACCATGGACTTCAACTTCAGATGATACATCCAGCACACGACTTGTGGAGTGGCCACCGAGTGATGGCGCGTACTTTCAATGCTTTAGAGTGTATGTGGTCAAGTTTTAGATAGGTGACATTGCACAAGCGTGCATAGAATATGTGCCCGATACTCTAACCTCGGGTGAACATGAGATTAAAAAAGTATTAACCCAGAAGACTTGTCAGGTCCACATTTTGTTTTGGAAATGCACTTCACGAGATCGACGACGTTATTGTAAATCTTAGAGGTATGGGTCATGTTTTTTGAACATATCAACTTGGCATCAAAACACACCTTGAACGCCGAAACAATTGGATTTCTCTCCCGCAAGTTTGATACATGCTTTGAGGAGGTTTCTGTCTTGTAAATAGCAAATCAACTCACTTGTGATGTGATAATTTGAATCCTCGCGGTAAAACCAAACGTGAATAATTACATCCAGCTGGATTTGTATGGAGTCTACAACAAAAGGGAGACGTCCAACTCGTCTCCATAAGGACACAGCAAACTGGGTAGCATCAATGTTAACAGGCCTTGTTTTGAAAACATCCATATAGTAACGAATCCTGGGCTTGTAGCACAACTCTGGTGGGTACTGTTTTCTAATATGGACAAGCCAGACATACCGGCCGAATACAAACTTGAAAAATTCTCTCATAAAATGGAACTTATCAATTTGAACATGTTACCCAAGACACCCAACTGTTGTAAGTTCAAATGCAGACCTGGCCTCCATATCTTACCATATGCTGAGGAAAATACACAAAAAAGTACCCTCAGTCACTACTGGTTTTTAGGGCTTCGACGTAAAGACGAACATGTTTATCTGTGCATGATCGACTGATCCTAAATCCTGACTGAATCCTAGAAAATAATATATTCCTCTCGAGATGACAGTGAAACGAGCAGTGACTTCCCCCCATGATGTCACGTAGGTTTATAGATTTTAAAGCAGGGAAGGTCTCTCCTTGGTTTTAGAACAGGGTAACTATTGCAGGTTTTAGGTCGTCCAGTTTATGTCCAGGAGTTGCCTGATAATTTCCAAAGAGGAAATCTGCCATGTGTTAAAAATTTCAAAACACAAGCTGTCAATCACAGGGGGAGTATTCTTACATTTGACACTGCCTGGTTTAGTAGATGGAATCATTCGTTTCTGCTTGGTTGGTTGGTTTGTTGCTTTACGCCGCACTCTGCAATATTCCATCTATTTGACGGCAGTCTGTAAATAATCAAGTCTGGACTAGACAATCCAGTGATTGACATCCTGAACATTGAGTGGGATCGATGACATGACTCAACTAAGTCAGGGAGCCTTACCATCCGATCCCGTTAGTCACCTTTTACGACAAGCATAGTCGCATTTTACGGCAAGCATGGGTTGCTGAAGATCTATTCTACCCCGGATCTTCACGGGTCGTTTCTGTCCGATGTCAGGCTCAACTTCCTCTTCTAGCATGCGCAAGTTTTGATTGACAGGTCAGATCGTGTATTGATCTATTAAACCACACAAAGAAGTTTTCACGTTTATTAATAAATACAGAAGATATTTACATGGTTGTGGTGAGCACACCTGGTGTAGAGTAATGAAAGATCTCTCTCTCTCTCTCTCTGTGATAACACATAAATGAAGTGTTTTTTTTAGTGACAATTCTCATGTACCAGGATATTATGCCTCCATGCCACACTAATGGCCTGGAACCATTAACCACCAATACCATCTTGTCCTTCAGTGTGGAACAGGACCGAAGCCCTAGAAACTCTCAGGAGCTAAACTGCTGAACACCACCATCCATCACTTCACCTGATTTGTGACCTGTGTGTTGAGGTAACATATTCACATCTATCACCACTTAGTCAGCACATGATTCCTCTTGACCATGGGAATAATCTGATTGGGTAGTTATTTGACATGATTTTGCAGTTCGGTTATGGTTCAAAATACAGCTATGGGTCCAGAGTAGATATCACAACAGAATAATCCGGGATGGCTAGTTTTGAGAAACTGATGAAAATATAATGATTTTAAAGGCGTTTTAATTACTTTTTGTCACCTGAATAATACTCTGTTTGCAGTATCGGCAACTCGTCTTATTCGGCGGATTCAATCGTGGGAATGAACATCAAAGACATATTTAACTGATTTCCAACCAATCATCACTGCGCAGGGATATGTGTATGCAGAGCTTTTTCCATGTGAGTCACATAATTTGATGAACAGTGAAACTGGGCATATAACAGTAAAACAATCCTAATGTCATTTTTAATCCTGGCACTGTTCTGTTAATTGCATATTGTCATCAAGCAGAGATAAGATGCAAAAGATGGTCAAGTAGAGAAAGCAATGATGGATGACGCCAGGTTTCAGTGTGAGGCTGTTCACAAAAGTTTTCATTTCTATCCTGATCAAGTTCTGTCATGAATTATCACACAGGGCAGATGAACTTATTGAGGAATGTAGTATGTTATCACTCAGGAATGCAGTTGTTTGTTATCACTCAGGAATGCAGTTGTTTGTTATCACTCAGGAATGCAGTTGTAATTACTCAGGAATGTAGTTGATATTATTTCCATGTTGCGTGTGTGGATCTCCTGTCTCGTGCACCTCGAGGACCTATCCCAGCAGCCCCCATTCGCTTCACTTCCTGGTTCAGAAGGTCAGTCTGGGCCAGGTCTTCATCATATCTGTAACATAAGGTCAAGGTCAGTGCAACAACACTGTCCCAGAGTGTAAATTTGTACAGTCTGCATGATTGAACCACAGGTGGTACTCTCTTACCCCAGCCTCCTGACATGTGTTTTGGCCTGACTAGTCAATGCTTGAACCACTAGTGGTGCTCTCTTACCCAAGCCTCCTGACATGTGTTTTGGCCTGACTAGTCAATGCTTGAACCACTAGTGGTGCTCTCTTACCCAAGCCTCCTGACATGTGTTTTGGCCTGACTAGTCAATGCTTGAACCACTGGTGGTACTCTCCTACCCCAGCCTTCTGACATGTGTTTTGGCCTGACTAGTAGTGCTCTCTTACCCCAGCCTCCTGACATGTGTTTTGGTCTGACTAGTCAATGCTTGAACCACTGGTGGTACTCTCTTACCCAAGCCTCCTGACATGTGTTTTGGCCTGATTAGTCAATGCTTGAACCACTAGTGGTGCTCTCCTACCCAAGCCTTCTGACATGAGTTTTGGTCTGACTAGTCAATGCTTGAACCGCTGGTGTTGCTCGCCTATCCAAGCCTTCTGCCATGTGTTTTGGTCTGACTAGTCAATGCTTGAACCACTAGTGGTGCTCTCTTACCCCAGCCTCCTGACATGTGTTTTGGTCTGACTAGTCAATGCTTGAACCACTGGTGGTACTCTCTTACCCCAGCCTCCTGACATGTGTTTTGGCCTGATTAGTCAATGCTTGAACCACTAGTGGTGCTCTCCTACCCAAGCCTTCTGACATGAGTTTTGGTCTGACTAGTCAATGCTTGAACCGCTGGTGTTGCTCGCCTATCCAAGCCTTCTGCCATGTGTTTTGGTCTGACTAGTCAATGCTTGAACCACTAGTGGTGCTCTCCTACCCCGGCCTCCTGACATGTGTTTTGGCCTGACTAGTCAATGCTTGACCCACTAGTGGTGCTCTCCTACCCCGGCCTCCTGACATGTGTTTTGGCCTGACTAGTCAATGCTTGAACCGCTGGTGTTGCACGCCTATCCCAGCTTTCTGACATGTGTTTTGGCCTGACTAGTCAATGCTTGAACCACTGGTGGGACTCTCTTACCCCAGCCTCCTGACATGTGTTTTGGTCTGACTAGTCAATACTTGAACCACTAGTGGTGCTCTCTTACCCCAGCCTCCTGACATGTGTTTTGGCCTGACTAGTCAATGCTTGAACCACTAGTGGTGCTCTCTTACCCCAGCCTCCTGACATGTGTTTTGGCCTGACTAGTCAATGCTTGAACCACTAGTGGTGCTCTCTTACCCCAGCCTTCTGACATGTGTTTTGGCCTGACTAGTCAATGCTTGAACCACTAGTGGTGCTCTCCTACCCCGGCCTCCTGACATGTGTTTTGGCCTGACTAGTCAATGCTTGAACCACTAGTGGTGCTCTCCTACCCCGGCCTCCTGACATGTGTTTTGGCCTGACTAGTCAATGCTTGAACCACTAGTGGTGCTCTCCTACCCCGGCCTCCTGACATGTGTTTTGGCCTGACTAGTCAATGCTTGAACCGCTGGTGTTGCTCAATGCCTTCTGCCATGTGATTTGGCCTGACTAGTCAATGCTTGAACCACTAGTGGTGCTCTCCTACCCCAGCCTTCTGACATGTCGTTGGAGTAAGTGATACTGATGAAACATTTCTGGATTATCACAGTTGCAGCATGAGAATGGACATGATGGTGAAGCCTGAATCATAGATATTAAAAACAATGCCACTCACAAAAGTTCAAAGTTCCCCAAATGTTCCTTGGAAGGTATCTTGCTCCAACGGACACTGCAAAAAACAACAACACGATCACACCCATAAATAAGTAATGTTAAATGCACAAAATATATATTTGACAAGTAAAACAATTTCCCTAACAATTTCCCTCTTCATAGACACCATAAAAGGTAACATATTTCAACACCCACAATTTACAGACAGTCTGGGGTGGGGCGGGGGTTTGAGGGGGTGCTGAGGTTTTTTTTTGCTTGTTCCAACTAGTATGTAACCAAATCAAAAGTTGAAAGGGCCTCCTGACATAAACAAACATACAAACTCCTCTTTCCACCATGACCATAACACGCTATGCACAGTAAAGCAGTGCACATGTAAAGGGAAGTAACTGTGTGCTATATGGGATCACATTGTTTTTAAGTATTAGGATTATGTTATTTTTTGAAAATGGAAATAAAAAAGAAATATGACTTTATGATGATGCGGGCAGTGCCTAAGAACCAAGACTATTATCTAAGAGGCCTTTCTGTTCCTCTCTTATTCCTCTTGCCTTGCTACGGGCAGACTAATGTTATGTCTGATAAAAGCCAGAAGAACTTAATGAGAAAGTTGGTTTTATGTTGCAAGGTGCAAATGTTCTACAGTGATAAGTGTGTCTATGAATACTTACTCTGGACCTTCTCCTGGTGGGATGACGATGTTGATGACGTCTGAGATGAGTTTATACTTCATGATGCGGTCGCTGGAGGTGGTGGCAGTAAGAGAGGGAGAGGCGTTCACCTGGAACACATGGAACACTTATATACAAACATATATATGAGAGAGGCAATCTTTGTTGCTCTAAAGTAGTTGTACAAAGCCCTGATATTTACATCTCTAAGAACATTTCGTGACAAGCTGATGGACTTTTTCATAATAACTGGAGATTATTAAATAAAGAATGGCTGAGAATTCCATGAAACATTCCTGCTATTTTAATGTTTATAAATGTGCCTTAGCCCTGGAAAGTAAGTACCGTATTCGATGTAATAAGTGCCTAGGGCGCTCTCAAAATTAGAAATAGGGGGCTCTTATTAGAATATTATTTTGGTGGAAAAAAACAGTTGAAAGATAAATTTTGTGGTTTATGCTGACAGACTGAAATGTTTATATGCGACAGATATATTTTTCCAAGATGTAATTGGCCATAATTAAGAATGCATATAACACACAAGTGCGTATTATATGTGAATAAATAATCTTGTGTACATAGATCAATCGGAAGGGGTGCTAAATGGGATTGTTCTCTAGCCAATATATTAGCAAATATCGCCGTGGGCGCTTATTAGAGAGGGGCGGTTATTACGTCGAATAGGGTAACACATGTCTCAGCCATATCACCTCTTACCTCAATAAGCCATGGCTTGAGATTATCGTCAATAATAATGTCATACCTGAAAATATATTTCACAATGACCAAATAAGTGTAATCACAACTTGACACTCCAGTTAACAATAAATAAAACAATTGCAAGTGATTCCATGGCATTTGACTGGTAACCAAGTTATCAGTTTGTTTACATTTCTAGTTTATAAACAGTCTGTGAAGTTATTTTTGTTGACTGATTTATTTAAAAGAACTGAACCAGTGTGCACACCGTGTAAATCTGCATCAAACAGGATGAAACAAAATGTGTGAGAATTAAGTTTTACCAAATTTTTAAATATTGTCATCTGTATATGCATGATGCATTAATACATGCCACTGTAGCAAGGTGCTATATATACAAGCTGTTGTAATCTAGTTCTGTTTTCAGGATCTTATAAAAATAAAACCTTTCTATGTTCTTACCCATAGCACTCAAAGCAATGTCGATCATTTGATATCACACCCTGAAATTATAATGTATTTTATACAACCAGTTAAAACAGTTAGCCATAACTTAAATGGTTGTTTGTTTGTTTGTTGTTTAATGTTGCACTCAGCATTATTCCAGTTATATAACGGGGGGTCTGTAAATAACTGAGCCTCAACCAGACAATCCAATGATTGACATCATGAGCATCGATCCAAGTATACCATGGGATCGATGACATGCACCAAGTCACCTCTTACGACAAGTGCAGTCGCCTTTTACAGCAAGCAAGGGTTGGTGGAGACCTATTCTACCCCGGATCTTTACAGGTGAAACTTAAAGGTACAAAGATAAAACATCACACCAGGTACATTCACATTCAGCACCCTGATGGCAGATGTCAAAGTATTATCAACAAATAATTTGTATACAAAGTGTGTATAAAATATATATCCCTAAAAGTTGTAAATAGGGGTTATGGTAAAATACTGGTTGTGATCAGTGCTATCTATGTTGTCGTAGCCAAGGGGGTTTAGGTTGAGTGCTGCCGGCAGGATGTCTGTTTGAAGAAAACCATTGACTTTGTTAAGGTGAGCTAAGCAAGGTTCTAAAGGAGCCAGCCATTCATTACATCTTGAGTATTCCACCACACTCATCACATGCATGTGCTGTTGAACAACCACTGGTTCATCTTACAGAAACAGCCTTCAGTGAGTGAACTGTTTGCCAGTGGATCTCATCAAACAGTTTGTCCGACACCTGGAACAGAGAGACAATGGCATCAGGGGAGGATTAACAATGTCTGGATGCTGCATTCCATTTCTCCTTTCATTCAATCACCAGGCAAAGTGTGTCACCATTCCCACATCAAAACACAGCCCCCTACACAGAGTGTGTATGTCCCTAGCTATCAGAGCTCTTGGACAATCCCATCTTCCCGAGGCAAGGGAGTTAACTGACTATTAAAGTCCAGTTTCCACCCTTGCTCAACTACGCTGAAATTTCAGGGCTTGATTGTATTATGATTTATGCCCCTCCTATGTCCCTCCTATTGACCAATCAGATTCCACCTCTCCTTTCCCTTGCATTTGGTTCAAACAAAATGGCGGCTGCCAGTCAAGACAATCTGATCAATAATCAAGATCTATATTGCAATGAAACAGGTCTCACTTCATGAAGTGCATCAAATCATGTGAGCACCTTGATTAAAACCATGAAAAGATGTAGAAAATATCTGTTAATGCTAAGCTGACAATACACTTACTTTGCAAATCCTGCAATCAACGTAAATCTGCATAGCAGTTTACGAACTGGATGTTGATTTTATAACATGATTTTGAATGGACTATGCATAGACTCGTTAGTCCAGCCAAACTATAACTCCATAATACCAGCCTAGTTTGGTGAGGGTGGAAACTGGACTTTTAGTCAGTTATCTCCCTTGCCTAGGGAAGATGGGACAACCCTGTCAGTAAGCCGCTCACCTCTTTGCCCCTTGTCCCCTCCAGGAAGAGGCGGAGATTCTGCACCGTCCACTTCCCTCCATGGATTGCATTGTAGTCCTCCTGTAAGTGGACAACACCAGTGGACATTAGTGATGGCCAGCGATCTCTATAGTCATGTAATCTAATAATCTAATTAATATAGTACTAACATATACACTCATGCATTGGTATGTACATGGTTTATGTTCATCCATCCCAAGCTCTGTACTAGGGATGTCAAAATAAATGCATACCTCACATATAAAAAACAAATATCCCCATACTTTGGCCACATGACATCTTGTTACTTAATTTGCCCCATATATGTGAACATTTCTCAGTCAACAGGATGTTTATTTCATCCATTTTGTGGAGAATTGGTTAAAACAGGCTCATTCTGATAGCTTTATGCAATCAGAATTACTATTTTGTTTCATGACAGGTGGTGAGTAAACACTAGTTGTGACTTAAGTTATGTACCAAAATGAATGTTTTGAAAATAAGTTTAGGAAAAACACATGAGACATTGGTCAGATGTACACTGTGTTCTACCTACCCCTTGCTTCTGTGTGGAGACATTGGTCACATGTACCCTGTGTTCTACCTACCCCTTGCTTCTGTACGGAGACATTGGTCACATGTTCTACCTACCCCTTGAGACATTGGTCAGATGTACACTGTGTTCCACCTACCCCTTGTTTCTGTTTGGAGACATTGGTCACATGTACACTGTGTCCCATCTACCCCTTGCTTCTGTATGGAGACATTGGTCACATTCGCACTGTGTTCCACCTACCCCTTGCTTCTGTGTGGAGATATTGGTCAGATGTACCCTGTGTTCTACCTAACCCTTGCTTCTGTGTGGAGACATTGGTCAGATGTACCCTGTGTTCTACCTACCCCTTGCTTCTGTATGGAGATATTGGTCAGATGTACACTGTGTTCCACCTACCCCTTGCTTCTGTGTGGAGATATTGGTCAGATGTACCCTGTGTTCTACCTACCCCTTGCTTCTGTGTGGAGACATTGGTCAGATGCACACTGTGTTCTACCTACCCCTTGCTTCTGTATGGAGATATTGGTCAGATGTACACTGTGTCCCACCTACCCCTTGCTTCTGTGTGGAGACATTGGTCAGATGTACACTGTGTTCCACCTACCCTTTGCTTCTGTATGGAGACATTGGTCAGATGTACCGGTGTCCCACCTACCCCTTGCTTCTGTATGGAGACATTGGTCAGATGTACACTGTGTTCTACCTACCCCTTGCTTCTGTATGGAGACATTGGTCACATGTTCTACCTACCCCTTGCTTCTGTGTGGAGATATTGGTCAGATGTACACTGTGTCCCACCTACCCCTTGCTTCTGTGTGGAGATATTGGTCAGATGTACACTGTGTCCCACCTACCCCTTGCTTCTGTATGGAGATATTGGTCAGATGTACCCTGTGTTCTACCTAACCCTTGCTTCTGTGTGGAGACATTGGTCAGATGTACCCTGTGTTCTACCTACCCCTTGCTTCTGTGTGGAGATATTGGTCAGATGTACCCTGTGTTCTACCTACCCCTTGCTTCTGTGTGGAGACATTGGTCAGATGCACACTGTGTTCTACCTACCCCTTGCTTCTGTATGGAGATATTGGTCAGATGTACACTGTGTCCCACCTACCCCTTGCTTCTGTGTGGAGACATTGGTCAGATGTACACTGTGTTCCACCTACCCTTTGCTTCTGTATGGAGACATTGGTCAGATGTACCGGTGTCCCACCTACCCCTTGCTTCTGTATGGAGACATTGGTCAGATGTACACTGTGTTCTACCTACCCCTTGCTTCTGTATGGAGACATTGGTCACATGTTCTACCTACCCCTTGCTTCTGTGTGGAGATATTGGTCAGATGTACCCTGTGTTCTACCTACCCCTTGCTTCTGTGTGGAGATATTGGTCAGATGTACACTGTGTCCAACCTTCCCCTTGCTTCTGTGTGGAGACATTGGTCAGATGTACCCTGTGTTCTACCTACCCCTTGCTTCTGTGTGGAGATATTGGTCAGATGTACACTGTGTCCAACCTTCCCCTTGCTTCTGTGTGGAGACATTGGTCAGATGTACACTGTGTCCCACCTACCCCTTGCTTCTGTATGGAGATATTGGTCAGATGTACCCTGTGTTCTACCTACCCCTTGCTTCTGTGTGGAGATATTGGTCAGATGTACACTGTGTCCAACCTTCCCCTTGCTTCTGTGTGGAGACATTGGTCAGATGTACCCTGTGTTCTACCTACCCCTTGCTTCTGTGTGGAGATATTGGTCAGATGTACACTGTGTCCAACCTTCCCCTTGCTTCTGTGTGGAGACATTGGTCAGATGCACACTGTGTCCAACCTACCCCTTGCTTCTGTATGGAGACATTGGTCACATGTTCTACCTACCCCTTGCTTCTGTGTGGAGATATTGGTCAGATGTACACTGTGTTCCACCTACCCCTTGCTTCTGTATGGAGACATTGGTCAGATGTACACTGTGTCCCACCTACCCCTTGCTTCTGTGTGGAGACATTGGTCAGATGTACACTGTGTTCTACCTACCCCTTGCTTCTGTATGGAGACATTGGTCACATGTTCTACCTACCCCTTGCTTCTGTGTGGAGATATTGGTCAGATGTACACTGTGTTCCACCTACCCCTTGCTTCTGTATGGAGACATTGGTCAGATGTACACTGTGTCCCACCTACCCCTTGCTTCTGTGTGGAGACATTGGTCACATTCGCACTGTGTCCAACCTACCCCTTGCTTCTGTGTGGAGATATTGGTCAGATGTACACTGTGTCCAACCTTCCCCTTGCTTCTGTGTGGAGACATTGGTCAGATGTACCCTGTGTTCTACCTACCCCTTGCTTCTGTATGGAGATATTGGTCAGATGTACACTGTGTCCCACCTACCCCTTGCTTCTGTGTGGAGACATTGGTCAGATGTACACTGTGTCCCACCTACCCCTTGCTTCTGTGTGGAGACATTGGTCAGATGTACCCTGTGTTCTACCTACCCCTTGCTTCTGTATGGAGACATTGGTCAGATGTACACTGTGTCCCACCTACCCCTTGCTTCTGTGTGGAGACATTGGTCAGATGTACCCTGTGTTCTACCTACCCCTTGCTTCTGTATGGAGACATTGGTCAGATGCACACTGTGTCCAACCTACCCCTTGCTTCTGTTTGGAGACATTGGTCAGATGTACCCTGTGTTCTACCTACCCCTTGCTTCTGTATGGAGATATTGGTCAGATGTACCCTGTGTTCTACCTACCCCTTGCTTCTGTGTGGAGATATTGGTCAGATGTACCCTGTGTTCTACCTACCCCTTGCTTCTGTGTGGAGATATTGATCAGATGTACCCTGTTTTCCACCAACCCCTTGCTTCTATGTGGAGATATTGGTCAGATGTACGCTGTGTCCCACCTACCACTTGCTTCTGTGTTGAGACATTGGTCAGATGCATACTGTCTCCCATCTACCCCTTGCTTCTGTATGGAGACATTGGTCAGATGTACCCTGTGTTCTACCTACCCCTTGCTTCTGTATGGAGACATTGGTCAGATGCACACTGTCTCCCACCTACCCCTTGCTTCTGTATGGAGACATTGGTCAGATGTACCCTGTGTTCTACCTACCCCTTGCTTCTGTATGGAGACATTGGTCAGATGCACACTGTCTCCCACCTACCCCTTGCTTCTGTTTGGAGACATTGGTCAGATGTAGTCTGTGTTCCACCTACCGGTACCCCTTGTTTCTGTTTGGAGACATTGGTCACATGTGCACTGTTTTCCATCTACCCCTTGCTTCTGTTTGGAGACATTGGTCAGATGTTCCACCTACCCCTTGCTTCTGTATGGAGACATTGGTCAGATGTACCCTGTGTCCCATCTACCCCTTGTTTCTGTTTGGAGACATTGGTCAGATGCACACTGTGTCCAACCTACCCCTTGCTTTTGTATGGAGACATTGGTCAGATGTTCCACCTACCCCTTGCTTCTGTTTGGAGACATTGGTCAGATGTACCCTGTGTCCCATCTACCCCTTGTTTCTGTTTGGAGACATTGGTCAGATGCACACTGTGTACCACCTACCCTTTGCTTTTGTATGGAGACATTGGTCAGATGTTCCACCTACCCCTTGCTTCTGTTTGGAGACATTGGTCAGATGTACACTGTGTTCTACCTACCCCTTGCTTCTGTTTGGAGACATTGGTCAGATGTAGTCTGTGTTCCACCTACCGGTACCCCTTGTTTCTGTTTGGAGACATTGGTCACATGTGCACTGTTTTCCATCTACCCCTTGCTTCTGTTTGGAGACATTGGTCAGATGTTCCACCTACCCCTTGCTTCTGTATGGAGACATTGGTCAGATGTACCCTGTGTCCCACCTACCCTTTGCTTTTGTATGGAGACATTGGTCAGATGTTCCACCTACCCCTTGCTTCTGTATGGAGACATTGGTCAGATGTACAAACATGTTGTCCAGCTCATTGATGTTGGCATTGTACTTGACTGTACAGAAGCGACAGAAGCCAAGCTTGTACCTACAACACAATGATTTTTTCAGTGTTTATCATTGGTATCATTCACAGTACCGTATTTTCTTGAGTATAGTACACAACGTAATCTTCTAATTACACTGTATGGTTATAAAAAGTGTTCATTGTACATCTGGACTTATATTTGTAACTTACTTCATTAATATTGTTTAAAATAATTTCGGTGATTTTAATTTCGTTAAAAGTCATATATGTTGTAGTTTGACGATTCTATGTCAACATGTAGTTCTCGCAATCACGTGCATGGGAGCCTCGACGGTGACTGGTCAAATTATTCCATGTGAAACAAATAACTGGCAACAGCGATCAGCTGCACCGAGGTGCTACGGCTACAGAGAGGCCTGAAGGAAGTCACCAACACATACATGTAGCACTTGAGGGGCTTGAAGGAGGTCGCCAACACTTACATGTAGCACTTGAGAGGCCTGAAGGAAGTCACCAACACTTACATGTAGCACTTGAGAGGCCTGAAGGAAGTCACCAACACTTACATGTAGCACTTGAGAGGCTTGAAGGAAGTCACTAGCACTTACATGTAGCACTGAGAGGCTTGAAGGAAGTCACCAACACTTACATGTAGCACTTGAGGGGCCTGAAGGAAGTCACCATCACTTACATGTAGCACTTGAGAGGCCTGAAGGAAGTCACCAACACTTACATGTAGCACTTGAGAGGCCTGAAGGAAGTCACCATCACTTACATGTAGCACTTGAGAGGCCTGAAGGAAGTCACAAACACTTACATGTAGCACTTGAGAGGCTTGAAGGAAGTCACAAACACTTACATGTAGCACTTGAGAGGCCTGAAGGAAGTCACCAACACTTACATGTAGCACTTGAGAGGCCTGAAGGAAGTCACCAACTCTTACATGTAGCACTTGAGAGGCCTGAAGGAAGTCACCAACACTTACATGTAGCACTTGAGGGGCCTGAAGGAAGTCACCATCACTTACATGTAGCACTTGAGAGGCCTGAAGGAAGTCACCAACACTTACATGTAGCACTTGAGAGGCCTGAAGGAAGTCACCAACACTTACATGTAGCACTTGAGAGGCTTGAAGGAAGTCACCAACACTTACATGTAGCACTTGAGAGGCTTGAAGGAAGTCACCAACACTTACATGTAGCACTTGAGAGGCTTGAAGGAAGTCACCAACACTTACATGTAGCACTTGAGAGGCCTGAAGGAAGTCACCAACACTTACATGTAGCACTTGAGAGGCCTGAAGGAAGTCACCAACACTTACATGTAGCACTTGAGAGGCCTGAAGGAAGTCACCAACACTTACATGTAGCACTTGAGAGGCCTGAAGGAAGTCACCAACACTTACATGTAGCACTTGAGAGGCCTGAAGGAAGTCACCAACACTTACATGTAGCACTTGAGAGGCTTGAAGGAAGTCACCAACACTTACATGTAGCACTTGAGAGGCCTGAAGTAAGTCAACAACACTTACATGTAGCACTTGAGAGGCCTGAAGGAAGTCACCATCACTTACATGTAGCACTTGAGAGGCCTGAAGGAAGTCACCATCACTTACATGTAGCACTTGAGGGGCCTGAAGGAAGTCACCAACACTTACATGTAGCACTTGAGAGGCTTGAAGGAAGTCGACAACACTTACATGTAGCACTTGAGGGGCCTGAAGGAAGTCACAAACACTTACATGTAGCACTTGAGGGGCCTGAAGGAAGTCACAAACACATACATGTAGCACTTGAGGGGCCTGAAGGAAGTCACCATCACATACATGTAGCACTTGAGAGGCCTGAAGGAAGTCACCAACACTTACATGTAGCACTTGAGAGGCCTGAAGGAAGTCACCAACACTTACATGTAGCACTTGAGAGGCCTGAAGGAAGTCACCAACACTTACATGTAGCACTTGAGAGGCCTGAAGGAAGTCAACAACACTTACATGTAGCACTTGAGAGGCCTGAAGGAAGTCACCAACACTTACATGTAGCACTTGAGAGGCCTGAAGGAAGTCACCAACACTTACATGTAGCACTTGAGAGGCCTGAAGGAAGTCAACAACACTTACATGTAGCACTTGAGAGGCTTGAAGGAAGTCACAAACACTTACATGTAGCACTTGAGAGGCCTGAAGGAAGTCACCAACCCTTACATGTAGCACTTGAGAGGCCTGAAGGAAGTCAACAACACTTACATGTAGCACTTGAGAGGCCTGAAGGAAGTCAACAACACTTACATGTAGCACTTGAGAGGCCTGAAGGAAGTCACCATCACTTACATGTAGCACTTGAGAGGCCTGAAGGAAGTCACCATCACTTACATGTAGCACTTGAGGGGCCTGAAGGAAGTCACCAACACTTACATGTAGCACTTGAGAGGCTTGAAGGAAGTCGACAACACTTACATGTAGCACTTGAGGGGCCTGAAGGAAGTCACCAACACTTACATGTAGCACTTGAGAGGCCTGAAGGAAGTCACCAACACTTACATGTAGCACTGAGGGGCCTGAAGAAAGTCACCAACACTTACATGTAGCACTTGAGAGGCTTGAAGGAAGTCACCAACACTTACATGTAGCACTTGAGAGGCTTGAAGGAAGTCACCAACACTTACATGTAGCACTTGAGAGGCCTGAAGGAAGTCACCAACACTTACATGTAGCACTTGAGAGGCTTGAAGGAAGTCAACAACACTTACATGTAGCACTTGAGAGGCTTGAAGGAAGTCACAAACACTTACATGTAGCACTTGAGAGGCCTGAAGGAAGTCACCAACACTTACATGTAGCACTTGAGAGGCCAGAAGGAAGTCAACAACACTTACATGTAGCACTTGAGAGGCCTGAAGGAAGTCACCAACACTTACATGTAGCACTTGAGAGGCCTGAAGGAAGTCACCAACACTTACATGTAGCACTTGAGAGGCCTGAAGGAAGTCACCAACACTTACATGTAGCACTTGAGAGGCCTGAAGGAAGTCACCATCACTTACATGTAGCACTTGAGAGGCCTGAAGGAAGTCACCAACACTTACATGTAGCACTTGAGAGGCCTGAAGGAAGTCACCAACACTTACATGTAGCACTTGAGAGGCCTGAAGGAAGTCACCAACACATACATGTAGCACTTGAGGGGCTTGAAGGAAGTCACCATCACTTACATGTAGCACTTGAGGGGCCTGAAGGAAGTCACAAACACTTACATGTAGCACTTGAGAGGCCTGAAGGAAGTCACCATCACTTACATGTAGCACTTGAGAGGCCTGAAGGAAGTCACCAACACTTACATGTAGCACTTGAGAGGCCTGAAGGAAGTCACCAACACTTACATGTAGCACTTGAGAGGCCTGAAGGAAGTCACCAACACTTACATGTAGCACTTGAGGGGCTTAAAAAAGGAAGTCACCAACACTTACATGTAGCACTTGAGAGGCCTGAAGGAAGTCACCATCACATACATGTAGCACTTGAGAGGCCTGAAGGAAGTCACCAACACTTACATGTAGCACTTGAGGGGCTTAAAAAAGGAAGTCACCAACACTTACATGTAGCACTTGAGAGGCCTGAAGGAAGTCACCATCACATACATGTAGCACTTGAGAGGCCTGAAGGAAGTCACAAACACTTACATGTAGCACTTGAGGGGCTTAAAAAAGGAAGTCACCAACACTTACATGTAGCACTTGAGAGGCCTGAAGGAAGTCACCATCACATACATGTAGCACTTGAGAGGCCTGAAGGAAGTCACCAACACTTACATGTAGCACTTGAGGGGCTTAAAAAAGGAAGTCACCAACACTTACATGTAGCACTTGAGAGGCCTGAAGGAAGTCACCAACACTTACATGTAGCACTTGAGAGGCCTGAAGGAAGTCACCATCACTTACATGTAGCACTTGAGAGGCCTGAAGGAAGTCACCAACACTTACATGTAGCACTTGAGGGGCTTAAAAAAGGAAGTCACCAACACTTACATGTAGCACTTGAGAGGCCTGAAGGAAGTCACCATCACTTACATGTAGCACTTGAGAGGCCTGAAGGAAGTCACCAACACTTACATGCAGCACTTGAGGGGCCTGAAGGAAGTCACCAACACTTACATGTAGCACTTGAGAGGCCTGAAGGAAGTCACCAACACTTACATGTAGCACTTGAGGGGCCTGAAGGAAGTCACCAACACTTACATGTAGCACTTGAGGGGCTTAAAAAAGGAAGTCACCAACACTTACATGTAGCACTTGAGGGGCTTAAAAAAGGAAGTCACCAACACTTACATGTAGCACTTGAGGGGCCTGAAGGAAGTCAACAACACTTACATGTAGCACTTGAGAGGCCTGAAGGAAGTCACCAACACTTACATGTAGCACTTGAGGGGCTTAAAAAAGGAAGTCACCAACACTTACATGTAGCACTTGAGAGGCCTGAAGGAAGTCACCATCACTTACATGTAGCACTTGAGGGGCTTAAAAAAGGAAGTCACCATCACTTACATGTAGCACTTGAGAGGCCTCAAGGAAGTCACCAACACTTACATGTAGCACTTGAGGGGCTTAAAAAAGGAAGTCACCAACACTTACATGTAGCACTTGAGAGGCCTGAAGGAAGTCACCATCACTTACATGTAGCACTTGAGAGGCCTGAAGGAAGTCACCAACACTTACATGTAGCACTTGAGGGGCCTGAAGGAAGTCACCAACACTTACATGTAGCACTTGAGGGGCCTGAAGGAAGTCACCAACACTTACATGTAGCACTTGAGGGGCCTGAAGGAAGTCACCATCACTTACATGTAGCACTTGAGAGGCCTGAAGGAAGTCGACAACACTTACATGTAGCACTTGAGAGGCCTGAAGGAAGTCACTAGCACTTACATGTAGCACTTGAGAGGCCTGAAGGAAGTCACCAACACTTACATGTAGCACTTGAGAGGCCTGAAGGAAGTCACCAACACTTACATGTAGCACTTGAGAGGCCTGAAGGAAGTCACTATCACTTACATGTAGCACTTGAGGGGCCTGAAGGAAGTCGACAACACTTACATGTAGCACTTGAGAGGCCTGAAGGAAGTCACCAACACATACATGTAGCACTTGAGAGGCTTGAAGGAAGTCACCAACACTTACATGTAGCACTTGAGAGGCCTGAAGGAAGTCACCATCACTTACATGTAGCACTTGAGGGGCCTGAAGGAAGTCACCAACACTTACATGTAGCACTTGAGAGGCTTGAAGGAAGTCACCAACACTTACATGTAGCACTTGAGAGGCTTGAAGGAAGTCACCAACACTTACATGTAGCACTTGAGAGGCCTGAAGGAAGTCACCAACACTTACATGTAGCACTTGAGAGGCCTGAAGGAAGTCACCAACACTTACATGTAGCACTTGAGGGGCCTGAAGGAAGTCACCAACACTTACATGTAGCACTGAGGGGCCTGAAGAAAGTCACCAACACTTACATGTAGCACTTGAGAGGCTTGAAGGAAGTCACCAACACTTACATGTAGCACTTGAGAGGCTTGAAGGAAGTCACCAACACTTACATGTAGCACTTGAGAGGCCTGAAGGAAGTCACCAACACTTACATGTAGCACTTGAGAGGCTTGAAGGAAGTCAACAACACTTACATGTAGCACTTGAGAGGCTTGAAGGAAGTCACAAACACTTACATGTAGCACTTGAGAGGCCTGAAGGAAGTCACCAACACTTACATGTAGCACTTGAGAGGCCAGAAGGAAGTCAACAACACTTACATGTAGCACTTGAGAGGCCTGAAGGAAGTCACCAACACTTACATGTAGCACTTGAGAGGCCTGAAGGAAGTCACCAACACTTACATGTAGCACTTGAGAGGCCTGAAGGAAGTCACCAACACTTACATGTAGCACTTGAGAGGCCTGAAGGAAGTCACCATCACTTACATGTAGCACTTGAGAGGCCTGAAGGAAGTCACCAACACTTACATGTAGCACTTGAGAGGCCTGAAGGAAGTCACCAACACTTACATGTAGCACTTGAGAGGCCTGAAGGAAGTCACCAACACATACATGTAGCACTTGAGGGGCTTGAAGGAAGTCACCATCACTTACATGTAGCACTTGAGGGGCCTGAAGGAAGTCACAAACACTTACATGTAGCACTTGAGAGGCCTGAAGGAAGTCACCATCACTTACATGTAGCACTTGAGAGGCCTGAAGGAAGTCACCAACACTTACATGTAGCACTTGAGAGGCCTGAAGGAAGTCACCAACACTTACATGTAGCACTTGAGAGGCCTGAAGGAAGTCACCAACACTTACATGTAGCACTTGAGGGGCTTAAAAAAGGAAGTCACCAACACTTACATGTAGCACTTGAGAGGCCTGAAGGAAGTCACCATCACATACATGTAGCACTTGAGAGGCCTGAAGGAAGTCACCAACACTTACATGTAGCACTTGAGGGGCTTAAAAAAGGAAGTCACCAACACTTACATGTAGCACTTGAGAGGCCTGAAGGAAGTCACCATCACATACATGTAGCACTTGAGAGGCCTGAAGGAAGTCACAAACACTTACATGTAGCACTTGAGGGGCTTAAAAAAGGAAGTCACCAACACTTACATGTAGCACTTGAGAGGCCTGAAGGAAGTCACCATCACATACATGTAGCACTTGAGAGGCCTGAAGGAAGTCACCAACACTTACATGTAGCACTTGAGGGGCTTAAAAAAGGAAGTCACCAACACTTACATGTAGCACTTGAGAGGCCTGAAGGAAGTCACCAACACTTACATGTAGCACTTGAGAGGCCTGAAGGAAGTCACCATCACTTACATGTAGCACTTGAGAGGCCTGAAGGAAGTCACCAACACTTACATGTAGCACTTGAGGGGCTTAAAAAAGGAAGTCACCAACACTTACATGTAGCACTTGAGAGGCCTGAAGGAAGTCACCATCACTTACATGTAGCACTTGAGAGGCCTGAAGGAAGTCACCAACACTTACATGCAGCACTTGAGGGGCCTGAAGGAAGTCACCAACACTTACATGTAGCACTTGAGAGGCCTGAAGGAAGTCACCAACACTTACATGTAGCACTTGAGGGGCCTGAAGGAAGTCACCAACACTTACATGTAGCACTTGAGGGGCTTAAAAAAGGAAGTCACCAACACTTACATGTAGCACTTGAGGGGCTTAAAAAAGGAAGTCACCAACACTTACATGTAGCACTTGAGGGGCCTGAAGGAAGTCAACAACACTTACATGTAGCACTTGAGAGGCCTGAAGGAAGTCACCAACACTTACATGTAGCACTTGAGGGGCTTAAAAAAGGAAGTCACCAACACTTACATGTAGCACTTGAGAGGCCTGAAGGAAGTCACCATCACTTACATGTAGCACTTGAGGGGCTTAAAAAAGGAAGTCACCATCACTTACATGTAGCACTTGAGAGGCCTCAAGGAAGTCACCAACACTTACATGTAGCACTTGAGGGGCTTAAAAAAGGAAGTCACCAACACTTACATGTAGCACTTGAGAGGCCTGAAGGAAGTCACCATCACTTACATGTAGCACTTGAGAGGCCTGAAGGAAGTCACCAACACTTACATGTAGCACTTGAGGGGCCTGAAGGAAGTCACCAACACTTACATGTAGCACTTGAGGGGCCTGAAGGAAGTCACCAACACTTACATGTAGCACTTGAGGGGCCTGAAGGAAGTCACCATCACTTACATGTAGCACTTGAGAGGCCTGAAGGAAGTCGACAACACTTACATGTAGCACTTGAGAGGCCTGAAGGAAGTCACTAGCACTTACATGTAGCACTTGAGAGGCCTGAAGGAAGTCACCAACACTTACATGTAGCACTTGAGAGGCCTGAAGGAAGTCACAAACACTTACATGTAGCACTTGAGAGGCCTGAAGGAAGTCACTATCACTTACATGTAGCACTTGAGGGGCCTGAAGGAAGTCGACAACACTTACATGTAGCACTTGAGAGGCCTGAAGGAAGTCACCAACACATACATGTAGCACTTGAGAGGCTTGAAGGAAGTCACCAACACTTACATGTAGCACTTGAGAGGCCTGAAGGAAGTCACCATCACTTACATGTAGCACTTGAGGGGCCTGAAGGAAGTCACCAACACTTACATGTAGCACTTGAGAGGCTTGAAGGAAGTCACCAACACTTACATGTAGCACTTGAGAGGCTTGAAGGAAGTCACCAACACTTACATGTAGCACTTGAGAGGCCTGAAGGAAGTCACCAACACTTACATGTAGCACTTGAGAGGCCTGAAGGAAGTCACCAACACTTACATGTAGCACTTGAGGGGCCTGAAGGAAGTCACCAACACTTACATGTAGCACTTGAGAGGCTTGAAGGAAGTCACCAACACTTACATGTAGCACTTGAGAGGCCTGAAGGAAGTCACCATCACTTACATGTAGCACTTGAGGGGCCTGAAGGAAGTCGACAACACTTACATGTAGCACTTGAGAGGCCTGAAGGAAGTCACCAACACATACATGTAGCACTTGAGAGGCTTGAAGGAAGTCACCAACACTTACATGTAGCACTTGAGAGGCCTGAAGGAAGTCACCATCACTTACATGTAGCACTTGAGGGGCCTGAAGGAAGTCACCAACACTTACATGTAGCACTTGAGAGGCTTGAAGGAAGTCACCAACACTTACATGTAGCACTTGAGAGGCTTGAAGGAAGTCACCAACACTTACATGTAGAACTTGAGAGGCTTGAAGGAAGTCACCAACACTTACATGTAGCACTTGAGAGGCCTGAAGGAAGTCACCATCACTTACATGTAGCACTTGAGGGGCCTGAAGGAAGTCACCATCACATACATGTAGCACTTGAGAGGCCTGAAGGAAGTCACCAACACTTACATGTAGCACTTGAGAGGCCTGAAGGAAGTCACCAACACTTACATGTAGCACTTGAGAGGCCTGAAGGAAGTCACCAACACTTACATGTAGCACTTGAGAGGCCTGAAGGAAGTCACCAACACTTACATGTAGCACTTGAGAGGCCTGAAGGAAGTCACCATCACATACATGTAGCACTTGAGAGGCCTGAAGGAAGTCACTAGCACTTACATGTAGCACTTGAGAGGCCTGAAGGAAGTCACTAGCACATACATGTAGCACTTGAGAGGCCTGAAGGAAGTCACCAACACTTACATGTAGCACTTGAGAGGCTTGAAGGAAGTCACCAACACTTACATGTAGCACTTGAGGGGCCTGAAGGAAGTCACCAACACTTACATGTAGCACTTGAGGGGCCTGAAGGAAGTCACCAACACTTACATGTAGCACTTGAGAGGCCTGAAGGAAGTCACTAGCACATACAGTCGCAGGTCAAACTTCTTCCCACCAATCAGCAGTGGGTTGTCAATGTACTTTGATATCACGTATGTGTCCTTTGCAGTAGGAGGAGTGAACCTACAAAATAAAAAAGAATCAAATTGGTTGCTAAAATACTTTAAAGTAAACAATCGATATTGTCTGATAACATATTGAGACTTCTTACTGAAAGTGTCTAAGCTGTCGTGGAAATCAGCTGTGTAGACAGATTACTGTGTCCGGGGACTGCTGATATAATGGAGAGGGGGTGGACTTTATGTAGACAGATTACTGTGTCCGAGGACTGCTGATATAGTGGAGAGGGGGTGGACTTTATGTAGACAGATTACTGTGTACGGGGACTGCTGATATAGTGGAGAAGGGGTGGACTTTCTTTTCCATCCCATGTGTCTCTGAAAACCTATGACCCTCCCTACAAATACTGGGGGAAAACCTATGACCCTCCCTACAAATACTGGGGGAAAACCTATGACCCTCCCTACAAATACTGGGGGAAAACCTATGACCCTCCCTACAAATACTGGGGGAAAACCTATGACCCTCCCTACAAATACTGGGGGGAAACCTATGACCCTCCCTACAAATACTGGGGGAAAACCTTCCAATGGCATATCTATTTCTTACACACCTGTGGGTGAGAAACCCATTCGCGATATCTGGTATCAAACATATGTGTGAGATGGAATTCCAGGCCCTTGATTGGCTATTCCATGGTGATGACCTGAGGTCAGATTATGATGGACTACTTTCCTGAGCGAAGTCATTGGTAAGTTGCTCGAGCTTCAGTCAAATGTTCACCAACTGTGTTATTAATAATAATAATAAATAAACTTGTCCTCGTCTGCGAGTTTGTTTGTTATTATTATCATTTATGTTGTCTGTTGTTATGTCAACGTTATGTTTTTTTTAAAGTGTAAACAACCCCCTGGATGCCTCCTCTTCAACCCTCTCTTCAAAGTCGAATAAAATTCAAAATACATCATGCATACTAATACACTTCACAGTTTTGAATTCCCTCTTCTATGATATCATTCATTGTCATTTTAGTCAAAGAAAAATTACTGAACATGCTAAAAGTGACTTCTGAAAATTTGGTACATTGTAAATCTCGCTAAATCACAATTCATGGCGTTATTTACTGTGTGTTTAGAAATCAAAATATCTGATATTAACTTGAAGAATTTAATTTAAAAAATAGCATATCAGTAATCATGGGTATCTGTTTTTCATCAAATCACTAATGATGATTCTGAAACGTCACTGATAAGCCTAGAATCGTTTTGGAAAATATGCATACACGAACGCCGAAATGTATGTACTGCCATAATGGGTTGTGTTTACAAAGCTGCCAAATCTACCCCCTTCAAAATATACCCGGGTAGAATCTGGGAGCTCCCAGAGTCTACCCCAGGTTAAAATTTAGGAACTTTCCAGAATCTACCCCCTTTCCAAGAATCTACCTCCAGGGGGTATAATCTGGGAGTTCACAGAATCTCCCCAGGTGTAGAATAAATTGTTATTGAATTCAAAAATTCAAAATGTTGTTTAATACATGCAAAGAAGTAATAAATATACTTGATCATGCTTAATTAAACGTTTATAAAATCGGTACCTTTGCATTTATATATATATGTATATAACCTATTCAAATAAGTCACTTTCTCATCTCACATGTGAGATTTCTTAAATATTATGATTACTGTTTGGAAAAACTGGTGCTCCCACCTTTGTCTTCTCAGTTCAAATAACAGGATGTGAATGTTTGAAACTAATTAGATGTGTACTGAATAGGCATTGGTCTACACTTAATCAGATGACAATGTTGTTACAGCAACTGACCAGGAAAGATCAACACTGAGTTAGATGCATCCCCCAAAAGAAAACTTCATGTACATTCATGAAATAACAATGTTTGAATCAAACAGGGCTGGAGTAGATTCTGGGAATTAGTTTATAGTTATAACCTGGGGTAGATTCTGGAAAAGGGGGATAGATTCTGGAAGGCCCAAAAATCTACACAGGTATATTTTGAAGGAGGGGGTATACTTTCAGACTTTACACCAGTTATGAGATCACGTATATTTCAAACTCAGCTGCAATACATGCATCCCTGAATTCCTCATACATTTTAGAATCAAATGACAAATGGTCTTTGTCACCAATGCAAATTATCTTGATGAAATCAAGTGAAATAAATTTGGTGTGGAAACGAACACTATGCTCGGGAAAACTACTTGCTGAAATGTAAATAAAACAAAATTCAGATTTTACACTGTGTAGCATTTTTAGAGGTTCTTTCATCTAATTGTTGCATACATTGGCTTGATTGCTTGTTTGAGAATATTCATGGGAAGAGTATAGTTGCACAAATTATGGAAATACAAAGATATACATTACAATGATGTGGGAAATTCAACAGAAATCATAAAAGTTTCCGTCCTGTGTGGCGCCATGGCTGAAGTAAAATCATGCACAAAGACAACGGTAGTTATCTGCATTTCTGACTAATTCTCTTGATTGCATTGAAAACATAAAACAAATAACAGTACGCAGATTGTCAGAATGTTTCTGAATACTTACATGACACATTTATGTATATAGGATTCCTCAATCAACTAAAATCCTCCTCTGGAAATCCTGTGTACTGTTGTCAGTGAACACGCCATTTTGTAAAAGTCGGGCACCGGTAGTGATGTCATACAGAAGTTAACATTGTTGTACATATTTGGTAATTTCTTTGAGGTGAAAACTTTTAAATCGGCTTTTGTCTAGTTTGCATTATCATCATCGCCTTGATAATCCACAGATATGGCGGAAACCTTTTTGTGTAGGGTCATATTATATATATGTGTGGAAGTAAGCAGTATGCATCACTCATGGCCGTAGTGTTATGTATCAATGCGCTACTGTGATCATGAGAAAAGACAAAGTGAATCGATTCAATGCTAAAAAGGTGTGTAAGAAACAGATTACTGCACTCATGCCTGTCAGATACCATTTATCTTACAACTCATTGTTACAAAGTGTATCTAACTTGCTTTCAATCATTAGATATGTTTTGAAACAACTCGTTATAAGATAAATGGTATCTGACAGACACCCGTGTAGTGATCTCTTTTTTTCACATGACCCTCCTAGAAACAAACACATTTATCATTAAATAACCTTCCTAATCAGTGTTCTCTTTTCACTACTATCCCCTTGATGCTGCTGTCTTCCTTTTTAAGGTTTCTTCATTAATTCCCTTGGACCCTCTTCCCCCACAGAATATAACTGGTCCCCTAAACACAAAAATAGTTGTAGCAAATACGATGAGTGTTCAACAATTAAACCAGCATCTAACTATCTGTAATGAGCAGTCAAGCCAAAAGTGAATAAACCAGTGAGTGATAGCAGTAGCGTCAATACATTTGCTTCAGTGAAGCTGAGAGTTCTCTAATGTTACACAAAATAACAGAACACACATGGCTACAGTGAAAGAATTGAAGTTTACACCCTTTTGAGCAATGTTTACAAACTACTGTGCAAAGGGCCCCGTACATAGGCTTCACTTATTCAACTCACGTTGTTGTTTTGCCATCTCTTGACCACTTCTTCAGCTGTGACAGCTTGTTGACCAGGAAGATGCCAATACCTCGAGCTATAACACAAATACAGACAGCTTGTTGACAAGGGAGATGTCAATACCTTAGGCTACAACACAAATACAAACAGCTTGTTGACAAGGAGATGTCAATACCTTGGGCTACAACACAAATACAAACAGCTTGTTGACAAGGGAGATGTCAATACCTTGGGCTACAACACAAATACAAACAGCTTGTTGACCAGGAAGATGTCAATACCTTGGGCTACAACACAAACACAGACAGCTTGTTGACCAGGAAGATGCCAATACCTTGAGCTACAACACAAATACAGACAGCTTGTTGACCAGGAAGATGGCAACACCTTGGGCTAGAATACAAATACAGACAGCTTGTTGACCAGAAAGATGCCAATACCTCGAGCTACAACACAAATACAGACAGCTTGTTGACCAGAAAGATGTCAAAACCTTGGGCTACAATACAAATACAGACAGCTTGTTGACCAGAAAGATGCCAATACCTCGGGCTACAACACAAATACAAGACAGCTTGTTGACCAGAAAGATGGCAATACCTCGGGCTACAATACAAATACAGACAGCTTGTTGACGAGGGAGATGTCAATACCTTGGGCTACAACACAAACACAGGCAGCTTGTTGACCAGGAAGATGTCAATACCTTGGGCTACAACACAAACACAGACAGCTTGTTGACCAGGAAGATGTCAATACCATGGGCTACAACACAAACACAGACAGCTTGTTGACCAGAAAGATGCCAATACCTTGGGCTACAACACAAACACAGACAGCTTGTTGACCAGGAAGATGTCAATACCTTGGGCTACAACACAAACACAGACAGCTTGTTGACCAGGAAGATGTCAATACCTTGGGCTACAACACAAACACAGACAGCTTGTTGACCAGAAAGATGTCAATACCTCGGGCTACAACACAAACACAGACAGCTTGTTGACCAGGAAGATGCCAATACCTCGGGCTACAACACAAATACAGACAGCTTGTTGACAAGGAAGATGTCAATACCATGGGCTACAACACAAACACAGACAGCTTGTTGACCAGGAAGATGCCAATACCTCGGGCTACAACACAAACACAGACAGCTTGTTGACCAGGAAGATGCCAATACCTCGGGCTACAACACAAATACAGACAGCTTGTTGACCAGAAAGATGGCAATACCTCGGGCTACAACACAAACACAGGCAGCTTGTTGACAAGGGAGATGTCAATACCTCGGGCTACAACACAAACACAGACAGCTTGTTGACCAGAAAGATGGCAATACCTCGGGCTACAACACAAACACAGACAGCTTGTTGACCAGGAAGATGGCAATACCTTGGGCTACAACACAAACACAGACAGCTTGTTGACAAGGGAGATGTCAATACCTCGGGCTACAACACAAACACAGACAGCTTGTTGACCAGGAAGATGTCAATACCTTGGGCTACAACACAAACACAGACAGCTTGTTGACCAGGAAGATGGCAATACCTCGGGCTACAACACAAATACAGACAGCTTGTTGACCAGGAAGATGGCAAAACCTCGGGCTACAACACAAATACAGACAGCTTGTTGACCAGGAATATGTCAATACCTTGGGCTACAACACAAACACAGACAGCTTGTTGACCAGGAAGATGTCAATACCTTGGGCTACAACACAAATACAAACAGCTTGTTGACCAGAAAGATGCTACTACCTCGAGCTACAACAGCTTGTTGACCAGGAAGATGGCAATACCTTGGGCTTCAACACAAACATAGACAGCTTGTTGACCAGAAAGATGCCAATACCTTGAGCTACAACACAAATACAGACAGCTTGTTGACCAGAAAGATGTCAATACCTTGGGCTACAACACAAATACAGACAGCTTGTTTACCAGGAAGATGGCAAAACCTTGGGCTACAATACAAATACAGACAGCTTGTTGACCAGAAAGATGCCAATACCTCGGGCTACAACACAAATACAAGACAGCTTGTTGACCAGAAAGATGGCAATACCTCGGGCTACAATACAAATACAGACAGCTTGTTGACGAGGGAGATGTCAATACCTTGGGCTACAACACAAACACAGGCAGCTTGTTGACCAGGAAGATGGCAATACCTCGGGCTACAACACAAATACAGACAGCTTGTTGACCAGGAAGATGTCAATACCATGGGCTACAAGACAAATACAGACAGCTTGTTGACCAGGAAGATGTCAATACCATGGGCTACAACACAAACACAGACAGCTTGTTGACCAGGAAGATGTCAATACCTTGGGCTACAACACAAACACAGACAGCTTGTTGACCAGGAAGATGTCAATACCTTGGGCTACAACACAAACACAGACAGCTTGTTGACCAGGAAGATGGCAATACCTCGGGCTACAACACAAATACAGACAGCTTGTTGACCAGGAAGATGTCAATACCTTGGGCTACAACACAAACACAGACAGCTTGTTGACCAGGAAGATGGCAATACCTCGGGCTACAACACAATCACAGACAGCTTGTTGACGAGGGAGATGTCAAAACCTTGGGCTACAACACAAATACAGACAGCTTGTTGACCAGGAAGATGTCAATACCTTGAGCTACAACACAATTACAGACAGCTTGTTGATCAGGAAGATGGCAATACCTCGGGCTACAACACAAACACAGACAGCTTGTTGACCAGAAAGATGGCAATACCTCAGGCTACAACACAAACACAGACAGCTTGTTGACGAGGGAGATGTGAATACCTCGGGCTACAACACAAACACAGACAGCTTGTTGACCAGGAAGATGTCAATACCTCGGGCCACAACACAAACACAGACAGCTTGTTGACCAGAAAGATGGCAATACCTCAGGCTACAACACAAACACAGACAGCTTGTTGACCAGAAAGATGCCAATACCTCGGGCTACAACACAAACACTGACCAGCAATCCAATACCAACCGTGCCAAAACAGCCAGGACTAATACAAGACTGACACAGTGGTGCAGCGGTAACCTGTCTGGGACATGACAAACCAGCTCACTTGATTTTGGCAGCTAAATACTTCCTCTAGTGTGTCTCCCATCCTTACAGAATAAATTAAAAAAGGAGTCCAACTCAAATCTAAGAATAATTGTGCACGTCTCTATTGCCTCAGCTACTTTTGGATTTTATTATTGTTATTTTGTAGATATATAGTTTTAAATAAGATAACTTTATGAGTTCAGTCTATTCTTCCTTGTTCTACCAATGCTAGACCTAATGTGGTTAAGGCACAGTCTCCTATGAAAATACTGTTACAAATACTAATGCCAAGACTATCATTTCATTTCATTTGGTTGTATAATTTCGGGGAGACTGATTATGCACATCTTCCAATAGACCTCTTATGTAGTCTGTCACTGTAGATGCGTATCCACCTTTGGTAACCTCCCAAAACCCCTACATCCCATTTCCCCTACAGCTTAAGACAACAAAGTTCACGGTCCATGGCACTGCTAATCCCTAGTCTGTTACCTATTTCATACAATGGAACAACCCAAGAAACTCGAATAGATTGAGATAAATATTTAATTACGATTACGATATTATTCAAAATTCATAATACATTATAATAAAAGGTTCATTTTTCAAAATTCATAATATATTATAATAAAATGTTCATTTTTCAAAATTCATAATACATTATAACAAAATGTTCAGTTTTCATCTCAACTGTAAATCGTCTCATCTCAGTTTCTCAGTGTAATAATTGTTTCTTCCTATTGTTGTTTGTAATTTCTAAAAATTGTCTTCTAATCATACAGGCATCTTTCATTACACTTACATTAATTATTTATTTTTTTTAACTTTCCTTTAAGTCCCCTAATCCCCTAAAGCTCTACCCCTTTCATTTCTACTACCTCTACTCCAGACCTTAATCTCTCCTTTAGGTGAGTTCATAATGCCAGACAGGTAAATGCTGTGTGTTGTTTTAACTAATTGTAGGGGAACTGGGTTGTAGGGGAAATGGGGTGTAGGGGTTTTGGGAGATAACCCCACCTTTCCCACAGGGTTTCATGATCCATGTTGTGTTTGGGTTCTTCCTGAACTCCTCAACAAACAGGTTGTAGTCGGCCGGCAACATGAACGTCTGTGGGATGAAATCTGAAAATGACAAAATCCATTTTTATCAAGGCATTATTAAACAAATATTGTTAACAATCAACCAGAACAACTTTTTTCTCTTTTTTGACTCAATTTCAATAATTTTGTGTTGAACTTCATTTTTTGCACAAACGTACAAAAATCATTTTGAGATAGATATTCTTAGCAAGCCAGAACACTGGGGTTATTGTTCAAATTTCAAATTGTTATACCCAAGTGAACAAATCGCCCGAGTTCGTCCTTCTCGGCAAGGAGACTCCCCTCCTTCTCCACGTCCTTGCGGTATCGCTTGATGTTCTTCACCATCAGATCCTTCCGTGTCAGCTCCATGTGATTGGGGAAGTGGTTGATCACCCTGAAATAGGTCAGTCATAGTGTGAGCAGCACTCCAGGTGGTCGGGGTATGAAGACACACAACCAACCAAGTCACTGAGCATAAGCACCCGATCAAAATGGTGGCCTCCTACAACCAGCATAGGTTGCTGGGGATCACTTCTAACCCGGAATACCCATGGGGAATTGTACAGGAAGACCTGCCAAAGAGCGGATATATCATGACGTACCCCATTTTCTAACAGTTGATATGGCACTGCTGATATTTCGAGGGATGAGTGAACATAAACTCAAATGCTGCTTCATACCAGTAGGTGATGTCTTCAACAATAGAATTCAGCTACATTCCCAAAGGAAAAACATCCTTGATAAAAGGACTGACCTCCATTGCCTCCTCTGCAAACTTTCGCAGCACTCGATTGACATCACCTATTTTTGAACATCTGATAGGTTCGGTACTTTAGCAGGGTTTCCATGAATGAACAGACATGTTTTGGTGCCCAGTTTTCAATTAATTTTTGCAGGTCGCATTGAGCTAAGACACAATTGAATGTTTGAAACTGATTCACAAAATATGAATATTTGTCAAATTAGAGTGTTCACATCACATTATAACTCGATAGATCACTATCAATATGGCTGTATGAAAATAGTTGTTTAATAAAAATATGCTATTATGCTAGTTTCTTACACTCCTTTTGAAAAACATCAAGGCTAGAAGAAAAACAATTTCCGAAAGTCCATTTATTTGATCTACAAAAATAAGGTAGGGTTATTTTCAACTGGGCCAACACTAAAAGATGAAATCCTTGTAGAACATACGTTATTGTCAGAAGTTGGCAACTAACTAAAGCCTAAGGCAGTGAATGGTCAACTCACTGATCATCTGTCAGCCGGTACCCACAGTCCACACTGAAGATGTTCCGGATGTTCTGAACATTTGCCCTGTGGACAAACACAACATACATAAGTCACACGGATCTCACAATAAGGAATCACGCTTTTACTTATTTTATAATGGCAAACAACATGGCAAAAAGACATTTATAATTGTTTGGTGTTAGGAAAAGAAAAAACTTGTTTACTCTGCAATCATGTCAATGGTTACAATAGTAGCAATTGCATCTATCTTAATAACCAGTAGAGGATGTAACGTGTTCGTGACAACTTGGGGGAAAGTACAGGACGTTTAATCAGACTCACTGGGGGCGCACTTGAGTTGTTCTGTCATGGTGACTGAATTAGTGTCAATTGGAGAGCACCTGTCTCCCGTACAAGAGATGACAGGCCTTCTCACATACATGTTACGTCTGCAACTGATAACATTCTAGATATTTTAGCATTATTATTTGTTGTGTGATGAAGGGAATGAAGTCATGTATCAGAGATATCCTTCAGACAGGCATAATTCTACCATTTGGATGTATGTTCAGAGAATGTAAATGGTTGAAAACTTAATTGTTTTCTCTTCAAACAACCATTGATAATCAGCTTATCAGTCAGTCATCATGGTCATCAACCAGGATTAATTCCCCTGACTGATCTGGCAAAGCATAACGTATACATGTACCGGTTAATAACCTCATATAGCCTACATCTCTCACTGAACCTGTGGAACAGGTGATAAACAATCATAGTGAGTGAGAGCACTGGGTTTGAACTCTGCTTTGAACAGTACATCCATTGTCATGGTTGTATCACAATAAGTGTCTGAAATAACTGCCTGCCCGTGGCTGGTAACATTTCTGTCGGGCTGCATGAAATTTTCCTTCGCCTCCCTTACTGTCGGTCAGATAAGTTTAAGACTACTTATGCATTCCTTTTTTTGGTGACTCCTAGTAGATTCTCACGTAATTATTTGCATTATTTCAACTGAATCAAGGTGTGATTTATCTCATAGTTTTTGCTATTTTTCAATATAAATAATGTCTGAATGCAGGCAGGCAACACTTACAAGTCACCTAGCCAACTCTCTTGCTGGGTTAGAAAATTATTTCCAACACTGATCATGTTAATGTTGGAGGAAAGCCCAACATGAAGCAGGTCCTAGATGGTTACCATGTTGGCAAGATGAAGCTGAACCCTCAAACCCTCTACTGATGACACAAAAACAATCATTACTAGGGAGAATATGGAGTTCTGTCAAATGACCACTGGATCCTTACAAAACAAAGGGACACAACCATGCATGGTGACTCATTATTTGTTTTCACCAGTAAAAGTTCCAGTCATCGTCTGCTCCGACCTGCACCCAGCCTCGTGTCTCGAAGTTGTTCAGAAGGACAGACTTGTCCTGGTCACAGGCGAACTTGAGACGGGATGTCATGTTGATTGTTGCCTGGAAATGTAACAAATAATACTGAAACAGGTCTGACATGGACCAAACTATGTCAATGATCCAAAGGACCAGTGTACTCACAATCTACTGTTCCTGTTGGATCACAGTGGTGCTGATCAAACAGGGTTTTGAAGGTCTTACTTCATTCCTATTCTACAAGCTCAATGTTTCTCATGGTTACCAAATAGCAGTCATAAAAGACATGTTACTGCTGGTTAACTTCAGAGATTTAATTGTTGCAACAGGTCAACTTTTCACCCATCAGACAGATCCTGCAGATAGGGTGTAACATCAATTAGTCATTAAAACAAGTGAGCAGGATTAATCAGGATGAGAAACAAGCAGCAGAAGGTGGCCACTGCACCACGCAGATGTGTTTACATGGCTGGTTGTGAGTTTAGAGTGGATCTATTGCTGATTTCAAAAGCCGTACAATCTTAAATTACTTTGTTCGTCCCAAATATAACATTAGACAGTTTTACTGGTCTTTTAGAAAATATACTAGACTCGGACCAGCAGACCAGTGTTGGTGTTGAACATTGTGTAACATACTTCATTACATGTAAACGTACTGATATAAAGAATAATCTTTACTGGATAGAGGGCTGAGTACAGCTGAGTGTACAAGTACATGTATTAAAGACTACTGACTTGATAACATTTTGCGGTTAACCATGACATGCACCTTACATGCACCATGCATGCAATAAGCACAATAGAACATGTCAAATACTCATGTTAGCAGTGGCTAGCTAGTGGTGAGCAATGGTAAGGCAATAACATGAACTTCCACTGGAGATGAGAAAACCTTCCCAAAATAGAAGAGACAGCTCTTGAAAAGTTTGCACCCTCACTAAAATGTATTTTCTTCACAAGCTCACATTTCAACATAAAACTACAGGACAATGGGTCAGCAAACACCCCTATCTTCAGTTTTTGTATCATTTGACAACATGATTCAGTGAAAACATGATATGAAATTTGGATCACACTAAAACCACCATTGTTACAGGAGTACATCACTGACAGAGTTTGTAAATTTGGTAAACTTAATTTTGTTTCACAGATTTATTCCAGCTTTTCCAGGCAAGGTCAGTCAAAATAAAAATAAAAGTAAATAGCTATGTCAATCAAACATTTATTTATATGTAAGTTATATTCAGCCGTGGAGTTAAAACTGCAGCTGGCTTCTTGAATCACTGGTAGTGAAATAGACATGGAATTTACATAGGACAGTTTATATTGTATAAGCAGGTCTATATGACTAGTGGGGTAATAAAAATAAAAAGTTTTATGTTTGTTTTATTTCTTGAACCGGCTGCTTTTCAGTTAAGGCTGCGGCCAGTGAAACGAAAAATAATAACTGTCTGGCCTAGGGCAACAAAATGAATGTGAAGTCCATCAACAATGATTACTACAGTTGTAGAGTTGAGAACAGGATTCTTGTGCATCCAAGGAGCATTAAGACAAGAATCAGCCCCAGACTGGCTACCTGATATAGTGAACATTGCAGAACATGTCGACTGAAGAATTGGTGTTCTTCTCTCATCCTATCTTGTCTACTCTATTCAGATACACATGACATATACTTGTCATGTTTGTAATTGCAATATGAAACTGTCAATCTATCATTCATAGTGGTGTATCAAATTATTACAAGCTCTGTGAAAGAAGGATATAGCAGTCGTTTTCAAAATAACTTTTGTTATTTAACAAGATTAACACTGATGTGACCATTCATCAACATAACTGATGATGGAGGTCTGTAAAAAATGGAGTCTGGAGCAGACAATCCAGTGATTGACATCATGAACATCAATCTATGCAATTGGGATACGATGAAATACATCAACCAAGTCAGCAAGATTGACCACCCGATCCTGTCAGTCGCCTCTTATCAGGTTTTATGACAAGCATGGGTTGCTGAAGACCAGTTCTAACCAGGACCTTCCTGATTGAGTTAGTATTAGTATTACTATTATTAACATTTAGTTAGCAGTATGTAGTAGTTGGTATGAGTATCAGTATTAACATTCAGTTAGCAGTATGTAGTAGTTGGTATGAGTATCAGTATTAGCATTCTGTTAGCAGTATGTAGTGTAGTTGGTATGAGTATCAGTATTAGCATTTAGTTAGCAGTATGTAGTAGTTGGTATGAGTATCAGTATTAACATTCAGTTAGAAGTATGTAGTGTAGTTGGTATGAGTATCAGTATTAGCATTCAGTTAGTATTAGTATTACTATTATTAACATTTAGTTAGCAGTATGTAGTAGTTGGTATGAGTATCAGTATTAACATTCAGTTAGCAGTATGTAGTAGTTGGTATGAGTATCAGTATTAGCATTCTGTTAGCAGTATGTAGTGTAGTTGGTATGAGTATCAGTATTAGCATTTAGTTAGCAGTATGTAGTAGTTGGTATGAGTATCAGTATTAACATTCAGTTAGAAGTATGTAGTGTAGTTGGTATGAGTATCAGTATTAGCATTCAGTTAGCAGTATGTAGTAGTTGGTATGAGTATCAGTATTAGCATTCAGTTAGCAGTATGTAGTGTAGTTGGTATGAGTATCAGTATTAGCATTCTGTTAGCAGTATGTAGTGTAGTTGGTATGAGTATGAGTATTAACATTCAGTTAGCAGTATGTAGTGTAGTTGGTATGAGTATCAGTATTAACATTCAGTTAGCAGTATGTAGTAGTTGGTATGAGTATCAGTATTAGCATTCAGTTAGCAGTATGTAGTGTAGTTGGTATGAGTATCAGTATTAGCATTCAGTTAGCAGTATGTAGTGTAGTTGGTATGAGTATCAGTATTAGCATTCAGTTAGCAGTATGTAGTAGTTGGTATGAGTATCAGTATTAGCATTCAGTTAGCAGTATGTAGTGTAGTTGGTATGAGTATCAGTATTAGCATTCTGTTAGCAGTATGTAGTGTAGTTGGTATGAGTATCAGTATTAACATTCAGTTAGCAGTATGTAGTGTAGTTGGTATGAGTATCAGTATTAACATTCAGTTAGCAGTATGTAGTAGTTGGTATGAGTATCAGTATTAGCATTCAGTTAGCAGTATGTAGTGTAGTTGGTATGAGTATCAGTATTAGCATTCAGTTAGCAGTATGTAGTGTAGTTGGTATGAGTATCAGTATTAACATTCAGTTAGCAGTATGTAGTAGTATGTATGAGTATCAGTATTAGCATTCAGTTAGCAGTATGTAGTGTAGTTGGTATGAGTATCAGTATTAGCATTCAGTTAGCAGTATGTAGTGTAGTTGGTATGAGTATCAGTATTAACATTCAGTTAGCAGTATGTAGTAGTTGGTATGAGTATCAGTATTAGCATTCAGTTAGCAGTATGTAGTGTAGTTGGTATGAGTATCAGTATTAACATTCAGTTAGCAGTATGTAGTGTAGTTGGTATGAGTATCAGTATTAACATTCAGTTAGCAGTATGTAGTAGTTGGTATGAGTATCAGTATTAACATTCAGTTAGCAGTATGTAGTGTAGTTGGTATGAGTATCAGTATTAGCATTCTGTTAGCAGTATTAGTTGGCAGTATGGGTTTTGAGGATTATAATATAATTTATAATGAAGAGGTGATAGTACACCTTTGAGCAAGTAAAGGTGTATTGTTAACTTGGTTGTGCTTGGGTCAATCACTCCCCTACCAGCCCCATTGTTTCAGCCAGGACAAATGTCCCGGTTGAGTGGTTGACCCTATTGTTCTCCTTAGGGTCAGCTTTGCATGCTTTTTACCCCTCACTTGCACCTCAGTCACCACACAGACAAGTCACTGACAGGCGACAGCAAGAGGGCATGTTTCAAAGACTTTTCACTTTAAAGGTATGTTTACAACTAAATGCATAAACATGCATATAAATAGATCTTTTCATATATAATAATATACAAGTAGGTGTAGGCTAAATAAGATATTTTTTATGATGTGTGAGAGATTAAGTGAATTACTGAATTTCCAGAACAGGCAATTATTTAAACATTTTTATGAAGCTTTTATCATGCACATGGTCAGTGTATTGTGAATGTGAGAACAATTATGACAGTGCTTAGTAATGTTTTATGACAGTGCTCTGTTCAGATCTGTAAATATGTATTTAAAGTAATACTGATGTGATAATATGGTCCAGGTGTGTAAGTGTATTGTGTAGGGAAGTTAGTTTTATTGTACATCTAGTATCATCAGCACATTTCCATATTTGTAGGTATTTTGATGATGTCACTGATTAGTCCTGGCCATGAAGTCATAGGAGTTTGACATGTGACCTACATGTAGAAGTAATACTTCTGGTATGTTTGTTTATTATATACTTCATTGTGAAAGACTGAGTCTTCTGAAGTTGAGAAATGTGATATTTTGATTGTAGTGAACATAATGCTTGATATTTCACTGCAGTGAACTTAACAATCAAGACTGTTCGTTTTGCAAAGTGCCATTTTTGTGACTTGACTAGCGTATTCTTTCACTTCTAACAGCAGCAGTCTCGTAGCTTTTCAGAATATTTTTTTGTGGAAGTTGAGTTTGTAATAAAATCTGAGACGGTCGTCTACACGGTCTTGTGATGTAGGGGCGGTCGGGTAGCCTAGTGGTTAAAGCGTTTGCGCGTCACGCTGAAGACCCGGGTTGGATTCCTGACATGGGTACAATGTGTGAAGCCCATTTCTGGTGTCCCCCGCCGTGATATTGCTGGAATATTGCTAAAAGCGGCGTAAAACCACTCACTCACTCACTCTTGTGATTTATCCATATCTAGATGTGTATGTCAGATGAATTATCATGCCCTGGTTTTATTTGTTATATCTTACATTGTGAGGAATGATGTTCTTATTGAGTATTATTATGTATTTCAGGTGCACATAAACTAGTTATGACTTGTGGGCAGAAATGTGCTGGATAACGGCATTTCACAGTACTTTTACATTAGTACAGAATTACTGATATCTTCAATTGTTTAAAAGATATCAGTATTTTATTTAAAGACAAAAA